CCTTTCCTCCTCTATGACAGCAAAATGAGTATGTTAAGATTGTGAACAAAACGAGATACTTGAGAACATTTTAACATGGGTTTTGGGAAATGCTTATCAACATTTTATTTCTTTATTTTTACCATTTTTGTACATTTTACAGAACAAACAACAAATGGAAAATAACCTATACTCAAAAAATAATTGTTCATAGCAGCCCAATATTGGAAATTAAGCTTATGCCTAACTTAAGTGAGGAAGATTTGGCCTCTATTCTTCAAGGTGTCCAAGGTCTATTCCCACTACATAAGTCTCTATCACGTCCATTTTCCACGCTGCCAGAATCACACCACTACCGATCTCAGCGTCACTGTTCTCGTGTAATGATCTACCTGCCTGTATTCTGTGGGCCAATCAGCCTGTGCACCCAGTTCTTTAAATTCACAGCAATCTCGTCTGTCTTCCTCTCAGGCCGTTGAATGTGCATCCCTCCTCTTCCTCCTTCCATCATCTCCACCTCATCTGAACAAACAGGGCATCTCAGCCAGTCTCCATCAGACACCTGCTCTCTTCGCTCCACCACCACAAGCACCTGGACTCCAGGGGGGGTCGTGTCTCCATCTCCTGCCATTTTTAATAAAAACCTTTGTTCTCTGTGTTAATACAATCTGTCCTTACTTAACTGACAATGGGCAGATGGAGAGGGGTCACATGCCAGAAACTGAAAGTCAGCGTGTCCAGTTCTTAAATTGGATAGTGCCACGCATCTGCAACGCATAGAGCTAATAAGATTGTTGATGCTGGCCTGTGGAATGTTGTCCCACTCTTCCTGAAGGGCTTGGCAAGGTTGGCGGACAATTCGGGAGACAGGATCTCGTTCTTGGACCCATCCACCGAAAGCTGTCTGGTTTCTTAGACGACAAATGGTTCTCATCTTTCTCTTGTCATACGTGGCATCGTGTCATTTTAATAAAGCTGCATTTTAAGATGGACTTTTATAGTCACTGGTCACTCTATCTGATCATAATCCCTTAACCCAATTCAAGACGTTCATGTTCCCATATGTAGAAGGTCTTTCGGGGTCCACTGGACCTCTAGACAGAATATGTGCAAAATATTTGTTGGTATTCATTATAGACTTTTATACTGTGTTAAAAAAAAGGTTTCTGATAAGTTGACGTATTTTTGGTTCTAAATTCATGACAAATGTTGCAATGGCAATTTTTCAATGTCCTAATGTTCTTTAATTGCCGTTACTGCACAGGTGGAGCAGAGTGAACCGACGCAGACCAAAAACATAATTTCCAGACTGTATACTTGCCATTTAGTGGATGGTTTATTTGATGATATGAAAAAAAAAAAGAAAATACATCAGTTTTCCTACAGTGAATATGGTATATATGTGTGCTGGTCTGATGCTGGTCTGATGAGAACTGTGTGCCCTCCCCCTACCTGTCACCTGTGCCCTCTACATATACACCCTGTGTCCAGTTACTGCCACCATGTGTCCAAATAATCCATATTAAATTAACTGCCGACAATAAACATAAATGGCTTTGTATTTAAGAAAAACTCTCCAAAAATAAAAAATCAATACCTGTCACCTCAACCAAATGGCCTGAATAGTGTTAAAGCCCTTGGCTATGGATTTACTGAGCGATCGAGAAATTTGTCACCAAATGAACAGCTTTAAACCTTGTAGCGCACAACTGGCTAGACTAAAACCTTCTCCAACCACAACAATAGATGTTTAATGTTTTCTCTAAATCAGAAAATGAGACCACTTCCATGCTGTGTTTATATTTGGGTTTAGCTTATGTGATACTTTTTATTATCAGACAACCAACTTCCTGATATTTATATACATGTGGCTACAACAACCGTTTTGTGTAAATACTGTACCAGTTACACCATCATGTGCAGTTCCCTTTAGCTGGAGAAGCGTTTTAGTGTTTTCAGCCTTGTTTTGGTTGTATAAAGGTTGTCTGACCCTTTCTGGTGCAGTGCACAACCACTACTTGAATTAATGCCATTTCCATCAACAGCAGGCGACAGTTTAAGTTAAAAAAAAAATACAAAAAATACAAAAAAATAAACCCAGCTAGACCTGCACCAAATGGCAAAGTTTAAACACAAGTGCGCACTTAGCAGCCCATCCCAGTGCTACCTTCTGAAGTAGGCTACAAGCTAACATTTAAGCTAACCATGTTTCCTAAAACTACCCCACCATGTTTGCGACATTTCGCTGTTTAAACGCACTTACCGCTGTAGTGACGACATTTCCTGAATCCTCCAAACCACCCGGGTGAAGAAACATCCCGTTCTCAGCATGGTAAAACGTTTTATGTATTTATTTATTTATTTTTGTCTAACCGTTCACGAAGTTGCGTCCGAGTTGCTTACGAGCGGCCATCATTGTTTTGGCTCTGAACTCGGGCGCGCTGGAAACACCTTCACAGAATTTTTTTATAAATGACCTGGGTTTTCCAGACGAAGCGGCTAATTGGGATATCTTTTACAGAAGCCGGTTGTGGCCTCTGCAGGAAGCTGGATGTTTCCCCTCAGGAGTAAGTGAAGAGCTGAAAGAGGAGGCAGTGTAGAATTTAGATTCCCCCCCACTGACCATACACTTGAATGGATGCTAATCTTGCTCCATTTCCCTTATTTCTTGCCAATGATTAGAAAAGATAACACCTGTGATTGTGGCTTGTGTCTGTTGCCCTCAAGTGGCCAAAATCACGTTACTGCAATTTTGTGCCATTTAAAAAAAAACCTTCCTCACTGATTTAAATGACCAGTTGTTTCACCTCTTGCAAGCTTTTCAAAAATGTAATAAGCAGAGAAAAAGAAAGCAGAATGCCAGGATTTCCTAATATGTGGAATAATGTCTTGTGTCTACCCATAATGGTGATCACCTAATTAAATGCATTTATACAGTAGAAAAACCTGCTAACAGAGGTTGTGCTATTATTGGCAAAGCCTTAGAGAGCTCCCATTTTATGCGCAGCTCTTCTGTCAGTATAAACAGCACACATGATATTCCAGAGATGAAGCAAGCTGCAGACATTCCTTATAGTATTTTCTCCTAGAATTCGAAACTTAAGATGACTGACAGTCATGTGCAATGTGCATGTTTCCATGTTGAAATCATTTATTCTGCAGAATCAAAGGCCTAATGGATGCCTGCAACCTCCCCATGAACCCGAACGTTAATCAGTCTTTAATTCTCATTACATGCTCGATCTGCAGACCACACCTTTTGACCTCGGGGTCACGCTTGGTCTCTTGTGTGCTCTCTTTTACCTCCCACCCTCCCATTCCGCCCAATATTATCTTACCATCAATGAGTTTAGAAGGGGTGTGCTTTGGCGCGGAGAGGGAAAACATGACGTATTTGGCAGCTGCGACTACGCTGAGGGGGGAGCCTCCCCACAATAAAAACAACCAGCTGAGTTTTGTTCATAATCCCAGATTCCACTGCACATACACTACTCTTGGCTAGATGGAGGAGTAGAGGGGTGGGGGAGCTAAGGTCTGGATGGGATGAAGGATGGGAGGGGAGCAGGCTAGAGCTTGGGGACTTATGTGACATTGAAGAAAAGCTGTGCAAAAGAAGACCTGGAGGGATATACTGAAGGGGTACAGGGACCGATGGGTGTAAAATGTAAAGACTTGGTTCAAGCAAACTGCAAATAAAGCATTTTTCTTCACTTATCACTGGTTGTATCTGCTCGTTCTGACGGCGCTGCTTCTTTTATTTTTCCAGGTTTCTACACATCTGTCTCTGACTCTTCTGCCGCAAACCTCAATCCAGTGAAGTAGAATGGAATGAATTTGTGTTGTTCAAACAATTTTGCATTTAAAAAATTCATGTCTTTCTAGGAGCAACGTCTGCATTACTTTCCACAGACAGTAGTTCAAATGGAAAATGTTCACAACAAGTTCTCTGGATTACCCTGAGACCTCGTTGTGAATATACAAAGAGACGTTGTTGTTGTTGTTTTTCTTTCAGCACTGCAAGCAGGACAAATTAAATTACATTCATGTTTACTGTACTGGGGCATTGGCAGAATAACAGAGGTGCATATCTCAAAACCTTGCCAAATACTATCTGCATGGCTAGATACGATTAAAGAAATAGATTTTAGGTGGAGTCTGTTGGTTCCTTTAAACTAGATACTGTGTGTAAAATGCGATGATCTCAGCAGGTCAAATAGGTTGCAAATAACATGGATGCACATCTTAGTGTATACAGCAATGTTCACGTCAGCTGGGATTTACACCTTTTAAAATTGCGCTGTGCAGCAGTTGACCAGTCTCAGATTGTGGATGACCACATTTAACCCAATATATTTATGTCTATGGTATGTGCTTCTTGTGCCGGTTTCACATTGTGCCTTATTGTGACAACAGGAATGTTCACAGCACTGCTACATGACCTTGAGGAAATATTTCCCTTGTAGGGTGTGGAGAGGGACAGGGCAGGGTAGGAACTCACATGGGGCCTGGTCTTGTGATGAAAGCAGGGCGTGAATGGATGGGAAATGATCATGTCACACTGTCATATGCGGTAGAAAGGGATATAGAGGACATGAGTGGAATAATATATCATAAACACATAAATATACGTGTGTGAACATGATGATGGATAGAGTTGACTTTGGACAGACTTTTTGACTCATGAACATGTCCTGAGCCATTTACAAAAGACAGCTGGGTGATGTTTTCGCTGCTCCACCCAAAGCTGCTGAAGACAAAACAGTGTGAAGTGATGTCATTACTACTGCTTATGTAAACCAGCTGTGTGACCTTATGGGCTATATGGGATTTAAATTCCATGTGTGTTACAGCACAGATGTATGCATCTGCGTGCACAAATGTAAGTACGTGCGCACATGCACATCCATCCCGTGGTTAAAAACCCCCTGTGCTCTTCCCACTCACTCTCATGTTTTTTGTTTTTTTGTTTTTGATTTTGTTAATATAAAGTGAAGCTGAAAAAAATGAAAAGTCACAGAAAATCATTTATTTTTCACTTTTTATTTTTTTCATCTTCAATCCAATTTCAAATACAGAGTGCTAGTAAAATTAAACAGTCACATTGGAATGTTAGCAATGAAAAGATACAAGATGGATCAAAAGGAGAAATCAATGCAAGACATCCCATTTGTATAACAGAGCACTTTTTTTTTCCTGCTCTAGTTATCTATTGCAGATTCCTTTTGTGTTTAACCTCGGGTATGTCAGTAAGAACTGACGTCTCGTATTTACAGGACAAAAAAAAGTCACAGATTTGAGCCATTAGATGCTTCCTTCTAACAGCCGCAGCCCTTGAATATACTTCTTTATGTTATATAGCCAAGATCAAATATTGTGAAGGTGCCACAAAGTATATATTTAAGTACAACATGAGCTATGAAATGAAAATCTTTGGCACGTAGAATGAACATAGTGAGTGAGGATACACAGGATAAAAACAAGATGAGCATATACACTATATTGAAATAAGAATAACACTGACAAATGGATGGACAGAGGTGACAGCAAGAGGCCCGAAGCCTTCGTGAGTCTGTTGGTCAAACAGTCAGTAAAGAGGCCTGTTGGCTTTGTGGTTAATCACACTACAGTTTGTTGTGGTAAAAGAATTCCTTGTGATTACCTCTCTTCAAGAAAACTCCCTCTGCCTCTGCATGGGGACCGACTGCAACTCAGCAAGCCATCGCTTTGTCAACTCATTTTACAAAATTGTACATTTTACAAGGCTAATGTCACATGCACATTCAGACTCTTCATTCAGTCACACAGTTAATCAAAATCTCTCACTCATCATCGAGCACACATACAGTACAGTAAGCAAGAGAAGCTTAGTTGCATGTATATATACAGTCCATGCACAGTACAGATGCAAGTATATGTTAACACACACATGCAGGATTTCATAGCAGCACACTCACGCACACATATTCGCACACTTACACGATCGATAACTCAATCAGACGCACAAGATAAGAGCCTGATGTATTTTCTCTCCGAGAAGTTTGTAAACAGATTCCAAGGCAGTGTGATTTATTTCCTATCTGTCTGTCATGGCTTTACATTAAACTAAGCAACAATTTTATTCATGTGCTTCACTACTAGAAGATTTGGTTGGAGCTTTAAACCAGATGACCTGTTGGGCTTGACAGCTCAGTGCTGTGAATCCAGAGGCAGCAGTGATCATGGGAGCCAGTGCTGATTAATGCTAGAATTCACTCTCTTTGCACCCAGATCGGCCCTCCTCCTGTCTCTTGTCTCCAGCCTGACTGCCGTCAACAACCCAGGGACTGAGCCTTCGTCATCACCGACATCATTCATCTCTGCCTTTATTGTCGTCATCAGACTAGTTTTCCTGATGTTTGTTGAGGCACATAGCCAAAGGAGGAGGCAAGAACACTGAAGCAACAGGAGTGGTGATGTGGGAGCTTGATCTAGTCCCTAACGTCCACTTTACTGTGGCCTCTTGTGTGGTTGGGTAGGAGTGGATTCAGAAAAGGAGGTGTGTTTGCATAGACGTGTGTGTGGGAGTATGGATGAGTGCGTTGTGGGGGTAGTTCCTGGGCTGCAATTATTTTTGGACTATTTCACAGCTCAGTGTCGGCCGTCTTGGCAGTCGAGTGGCCGTTGGTAGGGGGAGGAGGCTGGGTCTTTGCGGCCTCGGGGGACTCTCCATTTACGCTGGGTTTCTCCTGGGTTTCAGGAGGGGGATTGAGAGGGGCCACAGACACAAGAGTGTTCCCCTGATTCTCCTGATCCGCTGGATAGGCCTCCTCTGCCTGCAAGTACAGCACAAACGGATAGATCACTATACAAGGCGAGATAGCAAATTTCAACTAGGCATCAGGATGCTTGTTGCATCAGAGGAAACCTTTATTTTGTATCATTGTAAAAAAAAAAAAAGCTTAAAGTGTACGAATGCCAACACTATTTTTTCTTCATGCTTTGACTCTGGATATCAAAAAGTACCATATGTACGAAGATTGCATATCTTGTCAAGGTTGAAATGAACATTTCATAATCAGACACAGCTATGCATATAACGACACATGCATGCAGATAGATCAACTAACCCCCTTGCCGTTTAGCTAATACTTATAAACACACAGAAACACACCCTCTAATGTGGTCCTCATCATGTGATATTGTGCGCGGTACAGAGACACAGCTGTGTCTGGCTAGTGGATGAAACAGTTAGCTCTGCACATGAATAAAGCAGCAGAGAGCAGGGCGTGGGTCTCTGAGTAACGCACACTCTCTCTTTCTCGGTGCGTTCTCTCTGATGGCTGGCCAGCAACATTCCCTAATTAAAACGCTGGCAGACATTGATTCAAAAAGAAATAGAGCTGTTTTGATTTCAGATGTTGTGCAGCATGAACCGTGCCCAGAAAAATCTATTCACACTGTTAGCGAAACCCATAATGAGCGCTGTGAATGCAGACACCCGCAAACACATAGTGAAAAATAAGATATTTATGATAGAACACACCTATAGGTATTACAGAAAGGGATTCAGATCAGCTCAAATAACTAAGTAACAGAAAAATCTCACATGAACAACTAACTGAAATGACTTATTGGCTGTGTATGGAGTGATGTGATGCTCCTGTGCCAGCGAGGTCATACAGATTAGGTCAACACGGGCGGCGACATGGTGTCCTTTGTGCATTCATTCTTAGTAGAAAATGTGAAAATATGCGTACCAGCTTCGCTCCCTTGGGGTCAGGTCTACGTTGGCATTTGAAGTAACCCACGGTGAGGGCAAGGGCAGCAAGCAGACCAGTGATCAGAATTCCCACAAATACCGAGTAATTTGATGATGACGGGACCTCAGCCTTTGTCAAACCAAGCTACAGAGAAGTTAGCAGATAAGGTTGTGGTCAAAAGAGGTCGAAACCGGACAAGCACATCATCGTCTGGTTAATTAAAGTAGAAAGAAAACTGAGACATATGCAGAAACAGTCATTCACTGCCTAGTTAGGTTCAGGGGAATGTGCTATCTTGAGTTAGGAAACACAGGAGAATAACAGCAGCAACCCAGGGTAAGATGATACATATAGTACAGAAGAGGGAAAAAATGAAGGACAAAACATGTGCACAGACAAGTTACTGCTAAAACAGCATTATAGTGAAAGTGTACAGTATATACAGAACACTGTAATGTATTTGCATATAACATGGTTTGGAACACATCATAGGGACAGCATGGGTGTCATGGTGATCGTCAGATTCAAGCTGGTAACATCTCTTACCTTGTCTTTCAAAGTTTTACTCTGGAGGGCTTCAGCCAAGGTGCTCGCCTTAGCTGTAGATGCAATACAATTAAGAATCAGTAGTAGTTCATGAGAGACCAAACACCATTTATGGAGTTATATGTGTATCTTTTTCCCCTGATTGATCCATTAGATAAAAGCATGCTGTGAAGCAACAGCCCTTGATCTCTCTAACCACTAACCAAATAAATCAACTCTATATGCATTGTGCAATACATGATAAGCCTAAAGGCTGCAAAAAATGACACTGTACATGTGCATCATACTATATAATGAATGTCATCAATACCCACCATCATTGCTGGCCACTGACACTTTGTTGCCCTCTTGGAAGATTTCAAGTTTACAGTTTTCCTTGTCGCACCAGGCTGCAGGGTTTTCCTGAATAATGAGTTTCGTTGCCTCCTATAAGAAAGAATTTAACAATTTAACAGGGCAATGCACAATACATGCTTGTGCTTGTTCACAATAGCTGCTTCAATAAACTCAGAGGGGCTATTATGTGAAGTGCATATTACAATACAATAAAGAAACAGTTATTTTTTCACTATGCTAACAAGATCCATAAAGTCAGAATTTGAAAAAAGGCTTAGCAACCTTCACATTTTCGGTGTCTAGCTTCGTACATAAACACTGGGTCAACAATGTAATGTGTGCTTCTGAATTTTATAAAGTAAATACATTTGTGTGGCTTAAAGACTAAATTCAGTTGAATGGAAAACTTGCGAGCCACACCTTTTTTTTTCCCACCTTAACCCCCGAATTATGATATCACCTCATTGCACAACTTTAGGCTCCGCAACTTGGGAATGCTCTTTACTCTTCTGTAATGCGATCCAGACAGCTCTCAGTATTCCCGAAAGACCACTATGAGCAAACTCTGAATCCTCAGTTAGTTGGGAGTGGGCCCACAGCTGGACTCTGCTGTAACGCTCAGATCTTTCCGGCATTGAGAAAGAAACTCAGGAGGGCTGAACGCAAACAGCAGAATCAATCCATGGAACTTGGTCTGTTCTCCATCTGTCACTTATGACCGATCACATCCTGGATTGTCTCATACCCTGCTTTTCTTGACCTTACATGGCTTTCGGCACCCATGGCAAGAGTTTCAATGAATTACAGTTGGTACGCATTGTATGTTACATTATGTTTTCAATTTAGTTCTGCTGATACACACTGTTTGAGGCTTTTCATGTTAATCCTTTACTCTTGCTTGAAGAGAAAAAAACTTTTTTGCTTTGTTTTCTGCTACGTGCATTTTTGAGCAAATCATCAGCTGGCTAAGGCTTTTGGCACTGCATTCAATGTTTAGTTTCAGGTTGAGTTGGACGAATGACTTCTGCAGATGGTCCTGGCTCTGTGGATGTTACAGTCATGACCCATATAACTAAAGTATGAAACTGGGATCTGAATTGATGCTTCAGCTCTGTGCACCTGGGCTGACATATTGTATGTGCAATGTAACAATGAATTCTATTTGAACATGACATGTTTGTTGTGCTGCATCAGCAACAGCACATACAATTACAATTTAACACAGTAAGGAACACTATAATTAAAGTAGTAAGAATGCTCCAAATATGACATTGTCTACAGTTTTAAGGTTGGACAGAGAGGGCTCTCCCATTTCTGTTGTGACAAAAATAAAAATAAAAAAACTACCTCTATGTGTATTAAAGGCAATCTGCCATATCAAAAAACCTAGAAATCGAAGCTACACCCGTTTGTCTGAAGAACCCCAGAGCAAAAGAGGAAACATTAGCCCGCCTCTTCATTTGTCTCCTGCCACAGTCTCAAGATTTACAACGGCTGAGGAATGTCTGAGAAGAGATCTGCCTTTATCAGGCCCATATTTCCAACTGTAGCTCTTTAAAACGCATTCATCTACTTCCTCAAAGTGGAGTAAGCCACTTCCTCTGGGCATGAGGTGCGGGAGGCCACGTAAAGGTCTTGGTAAACGGAACGTGTCACTAGAAGGTAACTGGGATCAACTCTCTCCTCTCATTTCACTGTGGTCTTAAATGTTGCATGACAAAAATTCAGCTGTTGGTAGCTTGATACTGCTGATAGTTGTGCAGGGAGCAAGGGAGGCCTTTTGTTCCAAGCAAAATGATATGAATATGGATGCACAATTGGTGTAAATGGATTGATATTTTATGAGTGTGTTCTGCTTTTGTACTTAAATTGCAAAGGATAGACAAATTTGTACTCACACAGTCAGTTGTTGCTACTTCAGCCTTGATAGCAATACTTTCTGGGCTGAGCTCCTCCCCAACACAATTCACATCAGGCTATGGAGACAGTAAACCAGATCAAAACAACACCCTTTACACATATTGCATATGACTACAGCTTGACTCACCAACCTAAACACATCTCAACTCAAAGGAAAAGTGATATCTTGTGCAGAAACACTGGTTAAGATGTCATACAGCATAACATGTTGAGTCTTATTTGTGTTGTGTGACTTGTTGCTGATGGAAGCAGTGCAAGCTGAAAAGTTGAAAAAGAGAAGCTTACCACAACAGTTCTAACAACAGCAGAGTTATCTGTGACGACAGGATTGACTTGGTCAGGAGCAGCAGTGATCACCGAGGTGCCTCCATCCTGGCTGTCGGGATTCAGGGCCAAGTTTGTGTTGGTTGTTAAGGATAAGCTATCTCCAGGAGCAGCAGAAGCATCAGAGTCTCCTCCAGCAGCAGCAGTGGGAGTGGCACCTGCATCTGGAGCAGCAGTGGCACCTGAAGCGTCACCGGCGTCTGCAGCAACTGTCGCTAAGAACACAATCCAGGGACAGCACTCTGTCATTTGTCATGTCACTATGGCACGATATCCTCCGTTCATATAAATTCATCCATCCATCATTTATACACCCCTTAATCCTCACTGGGGTCACGGGGGGAGCCTATCCCAGCTGACTCGGCAAAGTCTATCCAGTCTATCACAGGGCTACACTTAGAAACAGACAACCAAGCATGCTCACATTCACACGAACAATTTAGGATCACCAATTAACCTCAACATGTTTTTGGACTGTGGGAGGAAGCCGGAGAATCCGGAGAAAACCCACGCTACACAGGGAGAACATGCAAACGCAGAAAGATCCCGGGCATCCTAACCGGGATGCAAACTGGGGATCTTCTAGCTGCAAGGCGATGATGCTAACCACCAAGTCACCTTGCAGCCCCCGTATAAATTCACGCAAGTTCAAATCTAAACTTTGAAATGGCCTCTTAAGAATCCGACCAAAACAGGGTGGATGTTTTCATTGATATTCTACAGTTGTTAAATCACTTACTACCACTGGCATCTCCAGCTGGTGCATCTGTTGGTGCATCATCTTGACACATCACCTCACCTGCAAAACAAAGAAAAAGAAGAGAGAAAGAATGGGCAGGTTAAACACTTTTATTTGGCAAATCAGTGCTCTTTAAAGCTTGAATAAATTAAAGTGTCTGCTGATGTAGTAACTGTCTGAGGTTAAAGTTTGTTAACTGCCCCCATTTTAGCCTATTTTTTCCCCCCCATTTGATTCAAACCTCAGATGTGATGATTGCTTGGCAAGCGCTGGAGTTATAATGATGTTTGTGGATGCTACTTTATTCATTGCATATCACAGATGTCTAGGTTGTGCCAATGCCCGTTTTAGTACACTGGCACATACATGTTGTTTTTATCTTATGGTGTAGCTTTTTCCGCCTTCATCCTTCCCATGCAGATTTTTTGACACTATATGTCCCACTCGGTTAAAAGAACTCGGTTCTGCTGACGTGTCAAAAAAACTATGGCAGAATAGTTGCAAATGTGCTACTACTGGCAGTAGCATAAAAAAAATCCAATATTTACACATAGTATTAGTTAATAGCAAATTAAACTCAGCTAAATTTATAGGAGCTATACACTGCTATCCTGAATCGCAGGGGGGGAAAAACATGTATTACAACAAAAGCAGCAATTTTAGGTTAATCGATCTGATGACTACAAGGTTTTAGGAGGCAAGGAATACAATGGAATAAGGGGTGTTTTTTCTTTTTTCTCCCAGTTTGCTACGTCTCAGTGAATGTAGGCCTACCTCAGAGGTGGAGCACCTCACAATCTTAACAACCTCTTGTTGTAGTAAACGCACATAATGGAACATAAAGGTTAAATATCTTAAAATGACTACTAGTGCTCTAAATTATCATTAAATCACATTTACGCCACTGTTCTTTTGTAAAGATGTGCGGTAACATAAAAGGAAATTTAAAACACATGCTCTGTGAACTACTCGTGGGAATGAGGTCAGAGCAGCAGGTAAGTTTGAACAGCTTGTCCTGGTGATTCGAATCTCATGCCCAACCCAAAGATGCCAAACTAATTTGGCATGTGTTCTCAAAGGCCCTTACTAATTAGTAGTCACATATGGGCTAATTCTCACTGTCTGCAGCCTATGCAAATGAACAGCTCAGTTAAAAGGTCGTGACCTCCTGACCACACATCAGTCTTCTGGGAGCAATTCTGTTATGGTGATAATCTTAGGATTAAGTCAGGTGGGGCAAAGACATCTCTGACACAGGAAGGTTAAAAAAGAAAGCATTTCCCTAGTTCATGCGAGATAAATGGATAAATGGATGGATGCCTGGTTCAGCTGCCTTTTGAAATCTAGGCTCCAATTCATATCACTATATTCATATCACTAAAAATGAACCTAAACAATACATTGATTTATGTCTACACATAGATGGCAAACTCCCTGAACTCTGTTGATCTGACCAAATGGATAACGTAATTTGACTTGTGCCAGCACTTTAACTTGTGCTGTTGTATTTAAGCTACACACAGAGATGCACAACTCTTTCTAATAGAACTTAAGCCATCGCCTACTTTGCCAAAGCCGGGAAGGGAAACTGAAGCAGCATCAATATCAGGCTGCCTTTGATAGCACTGTAATCTAATTCACTCTGCACCATCGCTACTAAACACTCCCCTCCACAAGGGAGAAACCCAGTGTTGTGTGTAAACAGTTTAACATCTAACCAAAACTATGCTGCAATCAGAGGAAAAATGCGTTTGGTGTACCGCTACTATTATTTAGGCAATCACCAGATACATTCAGATAAATTGGGGGAATTTTGATGTTTAGTGTGTGTTTGAAATCCTATAAACACGGCTGACTATAACCTACTCTGGAATAAGTGCCAAGCTCATTTTGGAATGTTATCATCCCAAACAACAGGTAGTGTTACACCATTTTTCCTCAGCTGGCAAGAGGCCACCGCGCTGCACACGGCACTGTAGCTGAGGCTCTGCAACATAAGGTTCTCTCCTGCAGTGTTTTTTATCTCAAACATGGCGTCAACTGGCTGAACGTTGTCCAAAGCTGGTCGGATGCTGCATTTTAACTGGTAGGAGTGGGCAGAAATCCTAATGTTTAACTGTGCCATCAGAGCCTTCAACTAATTGCGGGCTGAGCTGCTTTGTTTAATAGTGCAATAATGTGGGACAAACATGTTTAGCCACACCAATGAATTAACTTCAATACCTCAGTTTATGCCTCATAAATGTTTTCTTAGGACAAATAGTCTGCAGTGTTTTTCAGGCACTATATTGTCTCAGCAGCTAAGTTGCAGGTGTTGACTAAGAAAAAAACAAGTATTATTTATAATTTAAAGTTTTTTCCACCACCCCCAAAACAGTGTTTCCTGAAGAAAAGAAAAAAAAAGCAGGCACTGCATTATTGTTTTCATGCTGAAACTTGATGCAATATGCTTATACACAGTAGCACTCCTCCACTGTGGACACAGACACTTCAGACAGCTGTGTGAAAAATCTCACTGTATTTCCAGCCAGGCCCCCCTCCAGCATCAACACTGAGCCTTAGGACCTCCAGTCTTAACACAAACACAGAGAAACATACATAACACTTCTGCTTCGTAAACACAACCTTGGTCTTTCTCCAGAGAGTTTCAGAAGGGTTCATAGAGCACAAGGCCAAGGTGGCAGATTATGTAACCTCTGGGTTCAAGTAAATCTTGCTCTTTGCTACTCATTTCACCGCTGAGCTACATCAAGTGGATTTCCTGGCCTGTCTGTCCTGCTTAAAGCTTTTTAGCCTGGGTGTTCCAGTATTTGACGAGGGTATGTAGTCATGCCAGATGTAAAGAACTAAATCACAGGTTAAAGAGAGGATACAGTATGAGCCCAGGAGGGTTGATTGACATTTCAAAGACTGTATTTTTTGTGCCTGTGGCTGGACAGATCAACAGCAATTATAAGGCAGGACAAAGACATAAACTTCATTGGCAAATGACAAATGCGATTTGGCAGATGCTTCAAGCGTCTTACAGCATCGTGCCCGCTGACATATTTAGCAGCTCCTGGCAAGTGCTTCGTTCTGTTTAGGAAGATTTACAGGACAGCGTGAGTTATTGTTGACATGCTGCAGTGACTGAGTTGCTGGTCTCTACTTAAAAAAAGACTAGGGGCATGTAAGCAACCCCTAAAATCAGTTAGGCTGTAAACATATTGGACATCAGATCTAAAAATAAAGCAGTCCTCATCCCTTGGGAGATTGTCAAGAATTCCACAACTGACTCTAAAGGATAATATAAAGAAAGAGATTATGGTTAGAAAGGTCAATACTGGGTTGACAGCCCTGTATTGCACGTCATCATTCACTACTTTGGGATTAGCTCTTTGTCAGATCATATATTTCGAAGGCACAGAGACTCAAGGGGGAGCAGGGAGGAGAGATGATAAGGTGGATGTAGGAGGCCGTGTTTTACCATCAAATTACATGCTGAAGCTGTCATGAAAGCCAGATCCTATGTTCTTACATTTGGTTCTGTTTTCTTCTAGACAACGTTCATTCAACCCCTCCTCCTCACTGGGGAAAAGCTTTTCACCTCCTCCTTATGTACCAACAGAGGCAGCAACATAATTCCATGAATGCAGCACTAAAAACATGCAGCTGAAGGATGTAGAATGCAAATCTTCCTCTAGAGCGATTACAGTCATCAGTTTAAAATACTGATATTGCCACAGGAAGACAAGATGAACATACATTTTACCAATTTGGAGTTGCATTCATTTATAAATTTTGTTAATTCTTGTAGGTTAATTTTCTAATGCACATGTCAGATCTAACCTCAGCATTAAGTACTGCTGCGTCTCTATCAGTAACAACAGATTACAACTTCTTACATTATTCTGACTGTCTGGTTGCTTGTGGTTCTTAGACAGTTGGATCCATTTCTAGCAGTTCTTAGCAGTGCTTATGTGAACTCTGCTGTGGTTGTTCCCTTTTTGGTGAAAGTCAACCTTTCAACTGATCGATAATCTGCTTACATACCAGGTCATTACCAGAGTGCGTCAAGCCATGGGCTTGATGGGGATGCTGAACAATTCAATTTTTAAACTAAAATTTTACAAATTGAGTGCTCTTCTGTACTGACAATTCTGTTTCGAGCCACAGACACATGATGGTGCCGCCAATGTGGCTGTTACATGTTACACTACTCAACTCAACTCAACTTTATTATGGAGCACTTCAACACCACAAAAGTTGTAACAAAGTGCTGAACACAAATATGAAACCATTTAAAACATCTAAAATGCAAAATACAATAATAATAATAATAATAATAATAATTAAAAAGGACAATAGGAACAGTAAAAACAATTAAACAGTAGCATATAGAATCACTAACCTAGTTGAACCTGGCTTAATTTAACATATGTGTGCTGGCCAGAGGTCATGAAGCACTGGACAAGACTTTGTCATGGTGTCCCTTGACTAGTTAAACCCCCACAGTGCTCTTTGCTTGCCAACATGGACCTGTCCACCACATCTGGTCGCTACAGAAACAAACAGGAAGAAGCCCCATCTGGTGGTGGAACCAGTTACTACAGCTAATCTACAATCCTCGAAGTGTGTGCTATCAAGAAAAATGGTCTCGACTATATACAAATGCTAAACTATAAATGACTCAACTCGAATCAGGGGAAATTTAAAACAAAAAACCAAAACAAAAAAAAAACTTGGTCTGGACATCCCTAAATAGAACCAATGGTCAGAGCAACAACAACAAAACCTGTTTCCTTTCAGTATGGCATTTTTAGCACCACATTCTGAGCACCTCTTTTCATTTTTTTCCCCAGTGGACTCTGATCATGATTAGTGCACCCAGCTTTACCTAAAACAGAGTCATCAGCAGACTACAGGAATGGATTCTAAACTACACACAATCCTCTGTCTGTCTGTGGTGCCCATTGCTATACTTCACAAGCAGCTGCAGTCAAACAGATTGTGTGCATGTTTGTAAATGTGCGCCTGAGATACATAGGTAGGTATATTTTGAACGGTGCTATCTGGTCCCA